CAAGTCGCCAGGCCGACGCTCTATCCACTGAGCCAAACCGGTTTTGGCTGTTACATAGTTTCTTAAACTGCAGGCTCAGAGGCCTGCAGTAGCAGGCGGGGAACATTGGTTTCCTCCCTCACTGAGGCAAGCAAGCCTCATGTTAGTTTCAAGCTGCCTGGCTGCCGGCCGCCATCTTGGCTGGCAGTTAATTTGCATATCTCACTGATTAGCCAATGGGAAGGGTAGCGGTCGTACACCAATTACCATGTTTCTCTTTTATTAGTGTAGATATCTATAGATTACTAAGTGTATTTCATATTTATTTATGGATTTATGTAGTGTCCCCTTCCCCCCCATTCGAATGTAAACTTCAAGAAGATAAGAACTTTGTTTTGCTCATATAATCATCTGGGCATCTAGAATACTGCCTGGCACAGAGTAGGAATTCAGTAAATACGTGTTGACTGTATGCTATGTCTCATAATTTAAAGTGTGTGTGTGTAAAAACATTTCTGATACAATTTAAATTCCTTTTTAGGTCTCAGTCTTATTTGTCCCTGGGTAAATATCATATTTTTTCCACCTACATTTTAAAACGTCTATTATGTACGTATGTAGGTGTAAATAATCTATAACATATGTTTTTCTGCGTTTTGAAAAATTACGTAAATATCATATATTTATCACTCAATATTCTGTATTTCAGATTTATCCCTCTTGATGCATATAGATGTTCATCATTTTCACAGAAGCTTCATATTCCAAAAGCAACTGTATTACAGTTTATCCTCTGTCCCTCCATTGAGCTCTGATTTTTCTCTTACCTGCGGTGTTGCAGTGAACATTCTAGAACATGCCCTCTGTATGTCCACAAGCTGATGTCTCCACAGGGACTAGACCGAGGCGTGGAGCCCTGCATCACAGGGCGTGCTGGCTGCACCTCTGCTGGGCTCCTGGGCTCTCCACGGGCATACAAGCATGCACTGCTGCCCAGCACTCAGGAAGGACCTGTTTTCTTAAATCTGTGCCCACTTTTCAGAGTTAGATTTTTGTCAGTTGGATGCGGTTGAAATCATACCTTGTTTTAATTTGCATTTGAAGTTGAGCATCCTTGTCATAGGTTTATTTGGTTTCTTCTCCAGGGAAATGTCTCTTTCTGTTTTTCTACTGTTGTTTTCTTTTTCTTACTGATTCAGGACTTCTTTCTGTGGGTTCTCCACATGAACCCTTCCTTTGCCTTGCAGATACCTTCTCCCAGTCTGTGGCAGGTCTTTTCACTGTATAGTTCGCATGTAGAAATTTTCATTTGGGGTAGAGTAAGCATATCAGTCTTTTCCTTTATGATCCCCGCTTTTCTGTCTTAAGATCCCCTTCCGTGCCCTAGCCAGTTTTGCTCAGTGGATAGAGCATCGGCCTGCGGACTGAAGGGTTCTGGGTTCAATTCCAGTCAAGGGCACATGCCTAGGTTGTGGGGCTCGATCCCCAGTGTGGGGTGTGCAGGAGGCAGCCTATCAATGATTCTCTCATCATTGATGTTTCTATCACTTTGTTGAATAGAGGTGATGCTAGCTAGCATCCATATATATATATATCAGTAAAAAAATATATTTTTTAAAAGATACCCTTCCCTGCCTCTCCCTAGCTCAGAAAGACAGCCTTCATTATTTCTTATTAAACTTTTAAAGTTTTGTTTTTTTTCACATTTAAGTCTTTAATCCATCTAGAATTAATATTTGTGTAGATTGCAAGGGAAAATTTTAAAAATTTCCCCCACAAGGACATATGATTTTCCCACAAAGTTTGCTGAACATTGTCTTTTCTGTGATGATTTGTGATA